CTGAAGAGCCACCCATCAGGTTTCAAATAGAGCGGAAGGCAGAGGGAATCATAAGCATTTTAAAAACACTTTCTCATTTACATTTTCAATCGTGAGAAAAAAAAAAGATAAGATGGCTTGTGTTTAAATGTTTTAAATTTTCCAAACATCAAGAAGAGTCCTCGTAACACCGGCGAACACATTATTATGCCACAACCCTTTCCCATCCTATGCAGTGCAGATTCATGTATATAAAATATTCTTAATCTAATTTCATTTAGCTTTGTTAATTTCATTTAGTTGTAGTTTAAAGCCTCGTTTGAGAACCTTACCCAACACTTTTACTCCGATTGTCGCGTCCTCTCCTTTTGGGCTCTCACCACACCTGTTTGTGGCAGTTACTTGGAATTCATACATTTTCCCGCTTTCTAAACCAACGACTTCATGTTGAAGCACGTCTCGACCACTTACTTTTCCTTCCCAGTCAGAACGTGAACCATCTTCATTGACTCTTCTTTGATAGAATGTATAATGTGTTATCATTGCTCCATTGTCTTTAGGTGCTCTCCACGTCAACGTCAACCTGTCTTCAATTATTTCACATGGAGCTCCTACAAAATAGACTTGATCGGGAACACCTGCAGGAAGGATGCTAGCGATTAAATCCAACCTTTTTGGATACAAGTGGTTTCTTTTGACACTTGGGAATTATAAAGTTATTATATGAGGGACTTGTTCGCCTGGTCGAGAGGTCTGAGTTTGGGACCTGGCTGGGTCAATGTGTGGTGTTCTTGGGCAAAACACTTTATTTTCACAGTGCCTCTCAACACTCAGGAATATAAATGGGTGCTAGCTAATTATAAATGTCAGGAAAGCCTGATGAGATTCTGGGGCAGTAACCCTGCGATGAATTTAAATTGGCAGCTCATCCAGGTAGTAATACGCTTTATGTTAAGGCAACCGGGATAAACTCCAGCTGAGCGGGCCAATCCGGGGAGGAGTGTCGAGGTCTGGACTTGTTTGCCTGTTCCTTAATGTCTAATAGACTCCCCGTATTATCACTTTATTTTATGTAATGACCATGGCCATTATTCGTATCATGATTTTTTGGTGTCCAAATTGAAAATTTATCCCAGCGAGAAATGATCGGAGCGAAACCTTAAGAGTACTTTTTATGCTTATTGCAATGACGCCATGCTAACATGAAACCTTAATGATTGTCGGACTATAATCTAAGTTATTTTAAGGAAGCATAATTATTAAGGATTTCAATACAGGTGATATCGTAATGGAGGGGGGGGGAGGGGGTTGGGAGGTTCCGTGTATCCACTATAATCTAGAGCTTTATTATCACAGCTTTATGTCTGACGATAAAGGTAACTTGTCCTTTATGCGCAGAAAGACAGAATCATATACGTCATTTGTGGCTCTCCCTGAGTCATTATTTTCGGAGGAAAAGAAAAGGTAGACAATTGTTTCTAAAGCTTCTTACCACGAATAGGAAGTGAGGCGCTCTTGAAGAAAATTGGGTAGTAAATGTTCTCTTCCTTACCAACCACTCCGACCACAAAGGTTTTATCGTTCTTATCAGAATATAGCACCGGTGAACCAAGAAAGTTTTTTCTGTCGAGGTCACGATCAACGGATAAAGAGTGATTCCCTGTGGTATTATCGTACAACCAATCAATAGATTGTGCTCGTTTTCCATCATCACTGAGAAAATATGAGTAAACCTTCTCTTTCTTTTTATCATCTGCACTCAAAAGGAAATGCGAACTCAAAACTTTGCTATCTGGGAGACGGAGAAAACTACGCTTGTCATCGCACAGAATATCTTGGGCTTTCAGGCGATGTTTGCCAACATGCTTTGGAAGATTCGAACAATAGCGATCTAAGATAAATTCGTGCTCATTGTCTGCTCCTGCGTCTTCAGGGCTGGAAACATCTCTACACGTGAGCACATAATATTTCCCCTCACATTCTACTGCACATCCAATCCCCTTTCTTTCGCCATTTCCAGTTCCCACCATAAACAACGCCTTCCTCTCTGAGGGTTGCAACAGACCGTCAAATATTCCCATGTTACAGATTCCGCTGATTTTTCCAGGCTGAAAGAGAGTTTTTCAGTTTATGAGTAACAGTAAAAAAAACCTCCTCCTGATGATTCTAACCCTAACCCCGAGGCTAGCAGCGAGCGCACATCGTTGTGATATACCTTAGAAAATTTGTCAGCACATCAAGCCGTTACAACACGTCCGTCTTCGTCCGTCGATGATACAAGAATCTATATTTTAGTATGCGCGACAAGCTGTAATGCAGTATCAAGTTGAGAAATTATATCTAAGCAAGTAAATGGGGGGCCAGGTGAGGCACTGCGCATGAGTAACTCGCAAATCAATGATTCGTCAGCCAACCAAACAGCAATTACTGATAACAATAGGGACGATGAAATCAATAAATTTACAAAATTTGTGGAGTGAATATCGTTGGTATTCTTGTCATACCCATCATTTATCTCAGAAGATTTAGAAAATACTTCTTTCTTTAATCAGACTCAGAATCCCTACGTATATTCATTAAGAATTGGGTGATGAAGTTCGGTCTTTTCTTGGATTATCATGCTATTGGCCACCATATAAAATCGTCTATTATCTTCTGGCTTGCGCTGATTTGCCAAGCGACATGTATGATGGTAGGGTTCAACTAAAAGCGATTAACCAATCATTGTCTCCCATGCCTTATCATCGGTTTACATCAATTTGGGAATTTTAGGGCCAGCGTTCAATACTTGATTTCCCAGGAATTCATTTCAACCAAGGAAATGCATACACGATATAAGCTCAATTTGAAGTTTTACTACTATGTGCTATGGGAAAGAAGCAAACTACGAAAGCTTTCGTTTTTTGCGCTATAAAATTATCTTTTGTCAGTGACATCCAGTTCCTAACCTGAAGTTTGAAGATGTATTTATAAGCCTTGAATACATCACAATTCGTCATTGTTTTATCTTCCTCAGAACAATTCTTTAACTCGCGAGAGATAAATAAATTATAGCTTGCAAAAAGATGATGGTCTGTATCTCAAAAATATCAAGGGGTTGGAGCAATGTTTCTTAGTAACCAGCCTGCATCTACCCGATCGGGCCGAGTAACTAGACCTCGAAACAACTCTATTCGTAGTGCGGCAGACGAAAATTGCGAAGAAACGTTGCTCAATGCATTCAACCATTAAGTTAATTGTTTTCTTGGCTTTGTCGAGTTTTAGTGACATAACGCATTTTCAAACCGGAGAGTGGAGAATGTGAGAAAAACAATGATTCACTTCTTTAATCCTAAATTCGAGAATGTCTTCACATTTCTCACGTGTAACGACCGAAAATTAACGCCAAAACGCAATATATATTTCCTGAGCGCAGCGTTCTCTACTCAAATTTGCATAAATATTTCCGCCTTAGCTGTATAATTGTTTCTACACTTTAGAGTGCAGACTTACGCCTGCTCGTTTGCCACTTGTATTAATCATTTCTTAACTCAAAAGCACACCCAGGAAAGTTCACAGTGCACTAATTTCCACTCAGTTTGCTCACGAAACTTTTCTAGATGCTGCTTGATTCATGGCTACCACGGCCGTTTAACAGCATGGTTGATCAATATCGAGACGCAATATGAAGTATTCCTCTTACTTTCTAGATCGCATTTGAACCATTTCTTGCATTTCAGTTTAGTTGAGATAAACTTACATAGAATATACCTAGTATATTAAACAATATTTGAGGATAATTCCACCCAAATACCATTACTGATCAGTATTGTATCGACGGATAAACTGATCTTTATCATAGTGATATCTATAAACAAATCTGGATACAGTCGACATTTATCCGCCTTTAAGTAAGCAGCGTTGATATTGTGCTCAGATCAAACGAACGATGTTTTAAAAACTTACCCAAAGAGCTGGGAGAACCACTGTACAAAATGCAGTATTTCCAAACAAGTTGATGAAAATGAACGAGAAACTTGACAAAGTCAGTGCATTAATGTATTGATATCGACGAGACTAAACAGGATATATAAATCACTCATTCATTTAAATGTTCCGCAACTTAGACACCTCCTAAGGCGTGATGAATCATTCATAGGCTCTTGTAGCGTTAGCTCTCACGCACTGAACCACGTGCAGCCACTCATGCAATGTAAATCGTAATAAATGTGTAGCGGATTAAAAATGTTTTGATCCACCGCGTGTCAATTGCTGGAGCGAATAACCGTCTATACCACATAGCTTAACATATATGCCAGAGATAGGGATACAGATTTAAAAATGACAAGGTCAAGAGAAGTTTCAAACCTCAAAGATGCCATTTCTTTATTTCTCCGGAATATGTCCTTGAGAAAAAAATTGCCCCAAAATGAATTAAGTGTCTGTCTCCTACCTGGTTTCTTGGATTAACTTAAGGCATAACTCAAATATAAAGTTAATGAGGAAAGACGTATGTTCTGAAGAGTCAAACTAGATTACGAGGGACACAGTCATAACTTCTAAAATGGAGTGAGCAGTAATCGCAAAACGTTCTCAAGGCTAACTGGCGACCTTGATAACAACAGGACAAGAGAGTTCTTGGCATCACGAGTTTAGGTGGGAAATCACTGAGCCATCAGTGATCAGTGTAAGGAGTAGACTATTTCTCGAGTTCGCGAGACCTGGCACACTCAGCAAGGTCGACTCTCTTCCTCCCAGCATTTAACATTTTTATCGTGCTCTTAATTTTTCTATAGCTTAACAGGTGAACATTCAGTAAATAACAAACAATTGTAATACATGATGTAATTTTTAGGTAATAAATAAGCCATCTGACTCGGCCGAAAATTATCTCAAGACAACCTGTGCTGGCTTCTATCCATCACACGGTGATCTTGCAAAGGAAGATCTATTTTTGACCCAAAAATCAACCTAACTATCGACGAAGGTATACTTTCATATCTTTACACACTCGCAGCAAGAGAAGAAGACGTACAAAGAAGTGTTTTTCTTTTTTTTCATTATTCAATTTGCATGTGTAATAATTAGATACTTTTAACTATAGATATGGGACGCCCACCCGTTGTAAAGTGTATGTGATACCATATGGTATGAATATTTTGAAGGCGGGTCTTTTAAATTACTGGACTGCCGAAATTATAACCTGAATTTCCGCTAAAAATTTAGTTTGCGAATTGCTGGAAATTACAAATCATCAGATAAAGAAAAAAAACTTTGCAAACTATTATAAAAGTCTAACAGACAGCGCACTCCACACATTTGATTCATTTAATTGAATTCTAGTAAATCGTAAAGTTTTCCGCCCATAAGGACTGATACAGTAAGGAAACTGAATGAAAAACCTACCCTAACCCACCTACGTATCCCCAAAAGTTTTTCGACCTTGCAGCTTCAGGCCAATCTGCAAAGCCCCCCAAATCAAAACCCGAAAAATGTCCATGCCACATGGAACAGAGTAATTTTTTATGGGCAAGACAATTTCTATTGAAACGTTTGCTTTGGATCAACTTGATGACTGTAAAAAAATGAGCCTTACATAAAAAAGCGTCTTTCATTAAATGGGCACCAACGATGGCCCTATGAATGTTCACGTCAACTTTTAACTTTGCAAGGACTAAGTGAGATGGACAAGACACATCACATAGCTTATGCGCAGATCAATTCGAAATTTTAACTGCGTCTGGATCAATTCAGTGTCAGAATCTGAGCCATTACCCATCTGCCCCTACCCTAAAATAACAATAGTCTACTGAGGTATACCACTTGAGCTCTTCGGTATTCAATCATTCTACAATTAAAACAACGTCAATTGGGATTCAAATGATAGGTGTCCTGGTTGAATTTCTATCCTTTGGTTCTGATGACTGGTTTTATCATCACATTAACATCCAAGTTAATCCGACCTGTTTTGATGAACATTTTTAGCCCTTATCAGTTGAAGATGTTTGCAAACTTAAATCTTAAGCTGTCATCTTTGAATAAGACTTTCGCCAAAGAAATCCGCCTCTGTCAAAAATACGTTCTTATAATTTTCCAGTATACACCCGCATATATGAAAATGTCAGTTTATTATTGTCATTATACCAAAAAATTGGCGACACGCGATTTTGTCTCTTCAGTTGCTCAAAGGTGACTAGTAATTTTAGTATAGACAATCACGCAAGAAACGATTTTAACTCATTTATACTAACAACGATGACAATATTTATTTTTAGGCGCAAATCCCGCACGAGTTATAGGAGATAAATAGCAAAGGATATATATTTAGAGTTTGAGTACCCAATCAGAGCGCAGCTTCGACGCCATCCATTGTTTCATATGTAACGTAAATTAAAACTGATGTAAATTGTTTTAAATGCCGCGGCCAATATTGTTTGAGACTACGTTAAATTACTCTAACCAATTGTGTGGTTCACTTTCGATGTCCATGACCTCTTCAACCTATGGAGAGGCACGAAGTAATTAAAAAAATAGATAATCAAAGATTTGTCCAGATCTGTGTCCTATGTTTATCACATATCGGCACCTTAATTAAGAGCAAGTCTAGGAGTTTGCATAGTCAATCATAGCGCGCCTTCGAAACTATCCACTGTTTTAGTATATACCAAATAAAGATAACCATCAGAGAATAGCCACGACAGTCAGGCACTCTCACAGTTGAGCTAGCCAGAAGACGCATCCGAATCTCCAGTACTAAGTCATTTACGAAATACACGTAAACTACTGTAACAAATACCTTCCGTCCAATTCCGCCAAGACCAGATCGTGTTGTTGAGAAACGAAAAAATCTTGAATAGCAAAAACTCCAATAATGAATCAGGTGAAACTATGAAAAAGGAGGAAATTTAAAAATGTCTATAAAATGTTAGTTTCACTATAATTAACATTACATTCGAACCTCTGAAAGTCATAAGGGTTTAGTGATTTTAAGGACCCCCCACAGAGAGAATCTTGGTCGTGTATGGAGAAGTGACCAACCAATCATTATCTTTCGCCTTCAAGGGGATTGTGGTTGGAATTGGAGGATTTTAGTCGTGTCACGATAAAGATTTAGCTGACTCCCCCATAAGTCTCTGCAATATTCTGATGATACCCTCTTCGTTGTCAGTTAATTAGTCGTCAATTTATCATGGTCCCCCCCCCCCCTTTATACCCTGTTGGCGGCTACTGATCACCCGTTCATCCGGAAAACCACGTGATCCCCGCAAAATATACCACTCCTCACTCTCCCAGGCTATAGAAATTCGCTGGTCCCTGATTTTTCGGCATCTCACTCAGGATCAGTGTTTCGAAATGCTTACTATTTCTTTGTTTATGTCCTGTGACCGCGAAGGCTTACGATCAGAAAGCCTAATTATAACTCGCAGAGCCAGTAAGCCACCAAGTAAAAAGATGAAATGATTGCTTCCGGCGCATCTCTTACAATTTCTAAAGAAAGTGAGTCGTGGGCAGGATAGGACTACCAGTGTCGTTTCATTTCGCCAGCTTTTAAATGTTTGAATGTTCACCGTGTGAAGTTTAAAGACAGATTTTAAAGGCTCCGTGTTCTGTTCCTACCACTGTACCCTAAATTAAAAATTTGAATCAATAATGCAATCTAATTGTTACTTAAAATGGCTGGAACTTACCACATGCAATTTGGACTATGTTTGGGCCCTTCTCTACCCTTGTGCTCTCACCACACTGGTTTGTGGCAGTTACTTGGAATTCATACATTTTCCCGCTTTCTAAACCAACGACTTCATGTTGAAGAACGTCTCGACCAGTTGCCTCTCCTTTCCAGTTAGAACGTGAACCATCTTCATTGACTTCTCTTTGATAGACTGTATACTGTGTTACAACTGTACCATTGTCTTCAGGTGCTCTCCACGTCAAGGTCACTCTGTCTTCAATTATTTCACTTGGATATTCTACAATTTTCACTTGATTGGGGACACCTGCAGAAAAGATAGAATCATCATCAACCTTTTCTGATCTGTGTATTATCGCTATCATAATCCTGAATACTGGATATGCCTCGGAGCCATTACTGACTTCTTTGCCAAACTGATTCCTTAAAATACTTCTTGACTGCAAATCTAACTAGACCTAGAATACTTTTCGGAAATCTTGAATGAAAATTTTTTGAAAGAGTTTATAAACTACGCTTTTCACTCTGAGCCTCAATTACGACAAAATTAAGCGTAGGTTAAGAGTCTTAGTGCGAGATGATTTTCTATCTACGTCTTTGTGTATCAATACTGATTATCAGACAATGGTGAAATACCTCGGGAATAACGAAATGTTATAAAGAGTTCTTTAAAGGAAAGTTTTACAAGGAACCAAGTACATGTTAGGAAAGTTCAACTACAGTTCAGTACTCTGATGCTTCTTGCTTTTTTTCTATTACTCAAAGAGCCACCCATCAGGTTTCAAAAAGAGTGGAAGGCAGAGGGAATCATAAACATATCAAAAACACATTCTCATTTATATTTTCAATCGTGAGAAAAAAAAAAAGAAGTCCTCGCATCATCGGCGGTTTCAGCCGAACACAGTATTTTACCACAACCCTTTCCCATCCCATACAGTGCAGATTCATGTATATAAAATATTCTTAATCTGATTTCATTTAGTTGTAGTTTAAAGCCACATTTGAGAGCCTTACCCAACACTCTTACTCCCCTTGTCGCGTCCTCCCCTTTTGGGCTCTCACCATACCGGTTTGTGGCAGTTACTTGGAATTCATACATTTTCCCCCTTTCTAAACCAACGATTTCATGCTGAAGAGAGTGTAGACCAGTTGGCTTTCTTTCCCAGTCAGAAGGTGAGCCATTAACTTTTCTTTGATAGACTGTATACTCTGTTATAACTCCTCCATTGTCTTTAGGTGCTGTCCACGTCAACGTCACCCTGTCCTCAGTTATTTCACGTGGAACCGGTACAATATATACTTGACTGGGAGCACCTGCAGGAAGGATGCTAGGCATTAAAATCAAGTGGTTTCTTTTGACACTAAGGAATCATGGCTGCTATATTAAGGACTTCTTTTCCCGGTCGAGAGGGCTGAGTTCGAGACCTGGCTGGGTCATTGTGTTGTGTTCTTGGGCAAAACACTTTATTTTCACAGTGCCTCTCAACAATCGGGAGTAAAAATGGGTGCTCGCTAATTATAATTGTGGGAAAGCCTGATGAAATTCTGGGGCCGTAACCCTGCGATGATCTGACAGCTCATCCAGGTGGGAGTAGTAATACTCCTAGTCGCTTCATGTTAAGGTAACCGGGATAAACTCCGGCTGGGCGGGCCACTCCGGGGGGTAGTTTCGAGGTCTAGACTTTTTTGCCTGTTCCTTAATGTCTTAAAGACTCCTCGTATTACCACTTTATTTGGTATAATGACCATGACCATTATTCGTATCATTATTTTTTTGGTTTCCAAATTGAAAATTTATCCCGACGAGAAATGATCGGAGCGAAACGTTAAGAGTGCTTCTTTTTAAAGCTTATTGCAATGAAGACATGAACATGAAACCCCAATGATTGTGGGACTATAATCTAAGTTACTTAAAGGAAGCAAACTAAGTAAGGATTAAGTAAGCTTCTTACCAGGATAAGGAAGTGAGGCGCTCTCGAAGAAAATTGGGTGATAAGTGTTCTCTTCCTTACCAACCACTCCAACCACAAAGGTTTTATCCGTCTTATCAGAATATAGCACCGGTGAACCAAGAAAGTTTTTTCTGTCGAGGTCACGCCCAATGGAGTACTTCCTCGTGTTGTTATTGTACGACCAATCAATAGATTGTGCTCGTTTTCCATCATCACTGAGAAAATATGAGTAAACCTTCTCTTTCTTTTTACTGTCTGCACTCAAAAGGAAATGCGAACACAAAACTTGGTCATCTGGGAGAAGGAGAAAACTACGCTTGTCATCGCACAGAATATCTAGGGCTTTCGGGCGATGTTTGCCGACATGCTTTGGATTATTCGAACAATAGCGATCTAAGATAAATTCGTGCTCATTGTCTGCTCCTGCGTCTTCAGGGCTGGCAACATCTCTACACGTGAGCACATAATATTTCCCCTCACATTCTACTGCACATCCAATCCCCTTTCTTTCGCTATTTCCAGTTCCCACCATAAACAACGCCTTCCTCTCTGGGGGTTGCAACAGACTGTCAAATACTCCCATGTTAAAGATTCCGCTGATTTTTCCAGGCTGAAAGAGAGTGTTTCAGTTTATGAGTAAAAGTAAAAAAAACCTTCTCCTGGTGATTCTAACCTTAACCCCGGGGCTAGCAGCGAGCGCACATCGTTGTCTTATACCTTAAAAAATTTGTGAGCACATCAAGCCGTTACAACACATCCGTCTTCCTCCGTCGATGATACGAGAATCTATATTTTAGTATGCGCGACAAGCTGTAATGCAGTATCAAGTCGAGAAATTATATCTCAGCCAATAAATGGGGGGCCAGGTGAGGTACTGTGCATGCACAATCGCATGAGTAACTCGCAAATCACCACCATATAAAATCGTCTATTATCTTCTGAGTTACGCTGATTGGCCAAGCGACGTGTATGATGGTAGGGATCAACTGAAAGGGATAAACCAATCATTTTCTCCCGTGCCTTATCGTCGGTTTACATCAATTTGGGATTTTTAGGGCCAGCGTTTAATACTTAATTTTCCAGGAATTCATTTCAACCAAGGAAATGTATACACGATATAAGCTTAATTTGAAGTTTTACTACTATGTGCGATGGGAAAGAAGCAAACTACGAAAGTTTTCGTTTTTTACGCTATAAAATTATCTTTTGTCAGTGACATCCAGTGCCTAACCTAAAGTTTGAAAATGTATTCATAAGCCTTGAATGCATCACAACTCATCATTGTTTTACCTTCCTCAGAACAATTCTTTAACTCGCGAGAGATAAATAAAGTTATAGCTTGAAAAAAGATGATGGTCTGTATCTCAAAAATATCAAGGGGTTGGAGCAATGTTTCTCTCTAGGGAAGCTCTTTTCTCAAGAGTTCCATGCCTTCGTTTGGTGGAGAAAGCCACACGAGTTCAAAGCTAACGTTCTGCCGTCAAATCTTATAAGCTTTTCCTTGTATGCGAACACCCCATCAGCTTAGTCAGATGGCCAGTAATACAAGACTGAGAATAGGAGGAGGGCAAAATCAAGTCAGGGTGCCTTCAGTAACGCAATCGCTTGTGGGTTTAGTATTAAGGCAAACCAGCAACTGTCCGAGAATAGCAATCTGGGCAACCACGATCTTACAATGTAGATGTCAGTTATGAAAAAAACTTCATGAGAAGTAATTTAACACTTCTACCTTGATTTGAACATCCGTCATCGAACGAGGAGAAACTGCGGGATGACCTTATAGGCCATCCAGAGATGGAGCCACACATTTCCATGCCGTGCAGTAACCAGCCTGCATCTACCCGATCGGGACGAGTAACTAGACCTCAAAACAACTCTATTCATTGTGTGGCAGACGAAAATTGCGAGGAAACGTTGCTCAGTGCATTCAATCATTAGGTTTATTGTTTTCTTGGCTTTGTCAAGTTTCAGGCTTAGCCTTGTTCAGCTTCACTTGTCGAGGAAATATCTGGCGGGTCAAATATGTTTTTGTTCTAATGACATAACGCATGTTTAAATCGTAGAATGGAGAATGTGAAAAAAAAATTCACTCTGGTTTTTCAACATGACTTGCGTGGTCGATTCAATCCTAAATTCGAGAATGTCTTCATATTTCTCCCGTGTAACGACCGAACGTCAACGTCAAAACGCAATATACATATTTGAGCGCAGCGATCTCTACTGAAATTTGCATAAATATTTCCGCCTTAGCTGAATAATTGTTGCTACACTTAAGAGTGCCGACTTACACCTGCTCGTTTGCCACTTTTATTAATCATTTCTACACTCAAAATCACACCAAGGAAAGCTTACAGTGCACTAATTTCCACTCAGTTTGCTCCCAAAACGTTCCCAGATGCTGCTTGATTCATGGCTACCACGGCCATTTGACAGCATGGTTGACCAATATCGAGACACAATAGGAAGTATTCCTGTTACTTTCTAGATCGAATTTGAACCATTTTTCGCATTTCAGTTTAGTTGAGATAAACTTACATAGAATATCCCTAGTATCAAAAACAATATTTGAGGATAACTCCATTCAAATTCCACCACTGATCAGTGTCGCATCGACGGATAAGCTGCTCTTTATTATGGTGGTATTTATAAACAAACTGACGTTCATTCAAGTAAGCAGCGCTGAAACTGCGCTCAAGATCAAATGAACGATGTTTTAAAACTTACCAAAGAGCTACGGAGAACCACTGTACAAAATATTTCCGGACAAGTTGATTTCAATGAGCGAGTAACTTGATATCAACGAGACTAAAGAGGATGTTTAAATCACTCAATCATTTGACTGTTCCGCAACTTAGACACCTCCTGAGGCGCGATGAATCATTCATAGGCTCTTGCAGTGCTAGCTCTCACGCACTGAGCCACGTGTGGCCACTCATGCAATGTGAATCGTAATAAATGTGTGGTGGAATAACAGTGTTGTGATCCACGGCATGTCAATTGCTGGAGCGAATAATCGTTTATACCACACAGCTTTTAAGCTAGTACTGTTCACTTCATTTTAGAAGTTATGACTCCGTCCCTCGCAATCTAGTTTGACTCTTCAGAACATGTATCTTTCCTCATTGACTTTATATTTGAGTTATGCCCTAAGTTAAAACATACATGCCAGAGATAAGGATACAGATTTAAAAATGACAAGGTCAAGAGAAGTTTCAAACCTCAAAGATGCCATTTCTTTATTTTCTTCGGAATATGTCCTCGAGAGAAACAAGACAACCTGTGCTGGCTTCTATCCATCACAGTACTTTTGCAAAGGAAGATCTATTTTTTACCTAAAAAATCAATCAAACTATCGACGAAGGTATACTTTAATATCTTTACACACTCGCAACAGGAGAAGAAGACGCACAAAGAAGTGTTTTTCGTGGTTTCTGACACACCCTGAAGTTTATTCACGTTTTATGATGGGCGAAAGGTTTAACGAAGTATTCTAAACATTCACTCACGATCAAGCAGTTGTAGACCTGTATCGTTCGCTTCAATGTTTCTATTGTTGTTACCTGCATAACTTACTTGTTGATTAGCTTTCTCGTCTTTGATAGAGCGGAACCAAATGCTTATCATGACGACCAAAGCGCTCTGAATAGCACTTGAGAGCAGGCTTTCGTCAAAGAACTGATTTCCGACTAAAAGAAACGAGAGTTGAACCATCACGACGGAAATGCCTGCAGCAATCATGAATCCAAAGTTAATTTTCGCAGAAGTATCCCACTTTTTGGGATACTTCGGCGAGAAATAAAGCGCAGACAAAACATAAAATAAAAATGCAAACATGATGAATGATGTTGCCACTGGTAGGGCCCAATAAGGCTCAGTAATAATACCGATCATCACCCATAGGGCGTGATGAACGGCTATAAAAATTCCGGGATATGTCGTCCATAGTAATATACTTTCCGAATGTAGTTTTCCGTCATTTCCAAATTTTAAACACACGATATTGATTTTGTTATCTTCGTTACCCGCCTGAAACAAGTAATAAACAGAACAAAGTAAAAAAATTAAAAGAATGAATAAAAGATACGTTAAAGGATAAATGATTTGGGCCTGCCTACTGTAAATAACAGCGACGATAGCAACAATCGTCCCACACAAGAGAACAACAAATACTAATGACAGAATCGATTTTGCCCTACTACTTTCACCTCTACAATATTTTAAAACTAACATGCGTATTAAGTTGCTTCCTATTAGAGAAGAAAATAGGATTAGCCAGCAGATTTGAGGGAAGGCCTTGTTAATGTTCTTGAGGTGGTTTTCGTAACCTCCGTCTGCAACACATTCAACACTGTTCAGCGATGGGTTGAACGAGGATGGACTTATTGCAATGTCCTCCAGCTGTTGAGAAAGGAAAACCACATAACAATCAGATCAAATTAAAAAATATCTCAGGGTTTATTCGTGCCACTTTGTTACATGGAGGGAGTCGACAACCATATAATTTTTTTAAAATTATATTTCGATACCAAAGCATTTCGGAGGACTTTAACAGATGTTCGACAAAAGTGCTATGCGACTGCGTTGTGCAAATAAATCCGTGAAGCGTTTGTGTTGAAGTGTGATAGTATATTGTTGTACTTTTAAAGTGCCCCGTAAGTTTTTGGCTTACATCCGAGCTTCTTTTGTTGCAAAACTGTCACAAACTAAACACTGAAGTTATTTCCTCGTATCGCTTTCCGTAAATTTCTTAATAATACTTGTGGAAAAAGCTTTTAAGCTTACTTGAATAATGTCACCTATGCGAACGTGAGAAACAAATCTCAGCTCAATTTTGCTGAAGTGAGACATGGCTACAGTAAAAGTTTGCGCTGAGTACGAAAGTCACCGAAATCGTCACCGAGTCCGACGTAGCCGAAGAATGCAAAATTTAAAACATGTAGACATAGAAAGCACTACTGAGAGAAATCAAAGAATACTAATTCTGGTCTTACCGTTGACAAAAAGTTAATAAGTTTTCTCTTTGTCTGCCGTGGATCACAAAACTGATATAGTGTTATATGAAGGTCTTCTTGCCCCCTGTCAGGCCAAATGGTAAACAAGGAATAGAGACCCATTGCTCTTAGACTAAGGTATCGATCACTCACGTACAAACAAGACCGACTCCAAATGAACTTCAGTTGATTTACCTCTGTCAGATTAACAGAGGAGTTGGTAAAATGCACCCAGATATTGACAAGTTTAGAGGATACATCTTCGGATGGATAGATAGCACGGGAAATGTTGAAGTAGTTGTCAAAGGGTGGCTTTGTAGAGGCTAAGGCTTCATGAACCTGGTAGTCATACTTGAGACACGCGTATACGTAGTTGTCTGTCGGGTCGTCCATCTTAGTCCTTGTGTTTACTTTTTTAGACGATGGCGTGGACGACATCTGGTGAAAGTTGGCCAACAGAAGTAAAGCGATGTAGAGCTTAGCGAATTGCTTCCACTTCATATTACTTTTCGTCAGTGTGTAAGCTGATAGTAAGTGTGGGAAAGATGCACGCGGTTCGGGCCTGATACAGCAGATAATGAAAATTTACGACGTCAACAGTTACCGACAAAGGAGCTAACCACACGTAACTTAATAAAATATTCTCTTTTTAATGCAAACAACCATAATAAAGGAGTTAAAAGAAAAGAAAATGCCAGTTGTCTAACCAGGAACCTTCTTGGTCCAGCGAATATAACATTTAGGGGTTTTTTTTTCAGAAAATTAAAACGATAGATATTTAAACAGGAAGTTTTAGAGCGGATGACATATATCTAGATTTCCAAGTTTAGTCAGAATTTCGTTTCCGGTCCTTAACAACGTCTTCCGTACAAAGATGTTAAGATAACTCGAGCTCCTGAGATAGAAAATTAAGAATTCAAAGGGAGCCAAACATGTAAACAAAGCCATGACATCTCAGATGCCTCTCAAAGCTGAGATACTACAATCATAAAGTTAGCAAACAACTTCTTTTGTTCTGGCTGGCTGCTTTCCTCCGATATCAAGCTTAAAAAAAAGGGTAATGATGCGTACACTGTTTATGCCAGAGGCCATTTGTAGAAAATAAATTGTCCTCTCTGCCGAGACATTTATACTAAAAATTTAGAAAACGTGATAAAGGAAGTGCTCTTCAAGAGGCATTCGTAAATAAAGTTTGTCAAGTAAAGTTCAACAAAACAAAACAAAAAAGGCGTCCATCTGGATTGGTGCTACTCGTGGCCTCTTCTCCTTAGGAGTTCTAAATATTCGGAAAATCGTTGCTAGAAGGTCTAGAAGGGAAAAAACATCGAAGAGAAAGCGAAACGCAAAGTAAAAGAACATATAACTCCCAGTTCACTCTAGAGGCGATCATTTGCTACACGCGGAAAGTATGCAAATTGGTCAAAAGCCAAAGAAATACCTCAGCTTGAAAATCACTTGCACTGATTACTCCCTGAGTAATGCGATATTATTTGAATTAATGACTCGGAACGAAAACATTTCCTTTGATAAAGCGTGATTACAGCCTGGCGCCTGTAAAACCAGTAAAATTTAACCACCATATAGTTCGCGTTTTGTGTCGGATCTTCGGAACAGGAAGCGATGCCTTTCGCTGAAATTTATGTCTTCAGTTCTCAACTGATTCGATCATACAGTGTTGTAGCTTTTAGTTATTCATCTTGCTTAAAGCGACCTTTTAACCCTACAAATCTGCATTGCAAGGAAGCTCTCGAATTCCGTATTTTGCTTTCGAGTTACAGCATTGATTTCAAGGGGCTTGCTTTCAGTGCCTAGCAATCGACATAGCGCGCCATCAGAAAGTAAACGTCATTTTCACATTTGCACATATCCCTGCGCCATTTACTCTTTCGTGATGCATATGGTTTTCTTTTATCTCACACTTCATACAGGTTATTTCACCTATACGTAATTTAAGTTTGTAGTTTTCCAAAGTAACATTTTGGTTCTTTCGCAATATAGACCTGATCCAGAGGCTGTCACACCTGTTTAATTAACTTTTTCTTCTTCCTTGACACAGTGTTCTCGCGTCATCATTCAAACTTAAGATATGCCAGAATTTTAGATTTTAGGACCTTGTAGAATCTTTTCATATCCTAAATCCATTACAATACGTCGTCAAATCTACTTGTGCCGCTGTCCAGTTCCGCTAGTCCTAACGGTCCCATCCACGTCTTTATTATTGCAGCCTCGTTTCCAAGTAAACCAGTTTGGTTACGAGACAAAGCGTCCATGTAGATGCCAAGATTTGGCGGTTTGATTATCAACAATTTGGAATCGGAGGTATGTTATCTGCCATGTCGACTGGTACGTGTGGTTTTATGATCTTCGTAATCTCCCCAACAATCGATGTGATTGTTTGAATTAAATATTAGTGCCAAACGTATACGCCAACCCTTTACATATAAATGTTGACAGAGGGCAAAATCGATCATTATAGATTTTGTAAATTAGAATAAGCATGATTTCTATTTCTTCCATCATCTTTTCAGTGTTTATAACTATTCTAACTAATAGCACAGGATCTGCTTATTGTACCCCCACTTCAATCTTCGCGTTCCAACTGCAAATGAAGATTCACTCTTCCCCAAGCGATCAACTTCTACTTCCGGTTTAATTTATAAAGTTAATCGCAACATTAAGGTTTTGTGAGTTGCAGTGTGTACACATTTTTACACGAAGTGGCAAGATACTTTCAGTAAGATGACATGACACAGGTAGTCTACAATTTTCTGCATTGTTGTTGCTAGCAATATTCAGAACTTATTTCACATTTATCAAAGGGATCTGATATGTTGTACACTGGTTAATAGAAACATCGGACCGCGAACTGTAATTCTCGAGCTGGCCGTAGATCGTAATTTTATCCTGCGCCCCTTACAAAGCGAGTAACATTTTCTACACATAATTGTTGTTCACTCTAAAATGTGTAATGTGTCTTAACGTAAAATGCTGCTCTAACTCGGTGGTAAACACTGAACCCTAAAACTCCCAAGATCTGATTGTGTGTTTTCCCCTCTAAGAGCAATTGTAGCTTCTCGCGTGATCTCCAGACAATTTCATGATATTAAACACAACTTGTTATATTATCAACAAAGAGGATAAAATGTTTTGAGATCAGAACTCTCCTCTATCATACTTCAATACGTACATACCTCTTACTAAAAAAGTAAACAAATTTTAAGTCTGCATTATAAGTTAATTGGACCAAGTTTTTTTCTGCTCCAAATTATTGCATAGGCTTGAAGTATGTGGGCCAAATCTGAGTGGAAAAAACAAGGTCCCATAACTTACAGTATTGACTAGGAAATAAGGTTAGAAAGATAATTATTATATCACTGGGTTCAAATTAGAGGAGGAAGATTTCCATTCAAACAAAACTTTAACTTTAGTGGGCTGTGCAGTGGTACATTACCTGCTAAATTGACCAATCATAGTGCTCTGCATACTTAATGAGAGATGGGAAAACATAGTGCCCTGGTGCACTGTCGGAATAAGAAGCAAGCTTTGTTCTATTGAATTTAATCACACAATTTGCCAAGTTATGAATATAATTTAAATATGATAATTGAGAGCTTCTCTTTATTTCTCAATGAATACTTGCTCGGGTAATTTTGTCAATGCCACAAATCTGACAACCATAGTTTTTTTTTTTTTTTTAAAGACAGATGCTTGCTACAATTCTGTTTTAGACTCCAAGACTTCAAATTAGTCAAGTGAAATTTTGATTGATACATTTAGATATATTGGCAATGGTATAGGTACTGGTATTTGCATAAGGATTTCATAATTCACCTGAACTTTATGAATTTTGTGGCCTCACCATAGATAGTAGAATTCTGGGGTTTTGATTCAGCATAAGTCCTATTTGTAATTGATAGATTAAGTAATAAGCTGACTGATTAATTGAGTAAGTGATTCACTGTTTGACCTACCGATTTCATGTAATTAGAGTGTCAGTCATGGACTGACTATCCAATGCATAATACAGAAAAAGATAGAGTAACACACTTGGAACTCTGGGTAAAGATGCCACTCTGGGTAAGGATCTCATGGGCCCATCTATTGTGAGGACAACCACCTACAATGCATTCCAAAGGCATTTTTGAAATGACTTACACAACACCTTCCAGGTATTTCAAAACTATTTGCCTACATCAAAATGGTTGATTTACCCAGAGTTTGCAAGCATTGTGCCATCTTTTTCTCTATTGCAGAGTGACCAGCTCAATTGCTTGTGTGATGTACTATTTGGATAGTATATTCCAGATTTTATCTTCTGCCTCATGCATGTAGCTATAATCATAAAAAGCTAAGTTATTTATTCATCATAATCTTTGGTGGCCAACTGAAATATATTTCCACACTAGTTGGGTTGCATTTGTTAAATCTTAGTCGGGAGACATCAGTACTTGGCTGGGAGGGTGGGTGCAAGGGCAACTGGGAGAACTGTTAAGCTCCATTTTAAAAGTTTTTAGAGGCCACATCTACTCTGAGAAATCAGCTCTTTGCACCTTTTTTTTTTTCACTCAAAACTTTTGGAAAAGATTCATTTAAATTATGTAAGGGTGGGAAAGGGGTGCACTTAAGTAGCTGCAAACTGCATTGGATAAATATCCCCTAAAGGATTTATTTGTCTGAACTTTTAGCATAGTTTGCAGGAATTCTCTCTTTGTCTGTTTAGACACTGTAAACAACCTTCTATCTACATTTTTATTTTACATTTCTTTTATTTCAGCTGTTGTCTATTGTTGGATCCTTCAAGCCCATGACACAAGAGAATCTGTAGAGTTACAAAAGTAATAAGACTAATACGAACAGCATGTCTGCACGAAGCATTGAAGACAAACCACCGTCTCTTGCTGAGGGCTTCACTCCTCCAAAACCTAGGAACCTGCCCAGAGATCGAACACCTTGGGGCGATGTGAAACTTCCGATAGACATTATGTTACTCACAGTTAAGGACTGCGAGTTTTTAAGTTGCTATAAGTTGTTAAAGAACTCCTTCAAAAGCTACACCCTGGCACTTGGTGATGTTTATTTTGGGGGAATAGGTATAAATGAACCCTTAAAAGTGGCGCTAATGAAATGCCAGGAGGGTTCAAACACAACTGGTGGGTCAACAATCGTCGTGAAAAATGCCGTTACTATACTCAAGCCTAAGGCAGTGTTCGCTGTGGGGTGCTGCAGTGGGCTGCAGCGTTGTGAAACGCGACTGGGAGACGTAGTCGTGTGTTCTAAGATGACTCAATATGCTTCTCGAATTGTCCAGAGTGGTGAAGTCCAATCAACAGGTGCTACTCGTGTTCCCGTAAGTCGAAACATGTTGCAACTTATCAAGGATGCAGCTGCTGGTTGGAAACCACCATTGCGCGACCCTTCCTCACGAGAAATTGAAGTTCATTGTGATGCGGAGTATCTGAGTGGCCCAGAGTTTGTCTGTGACAAACAGAGATATGACGAACTGATTCGTCTTTATCCCGATGCAAAAGCAATTGATAGGGAGGGTGAAGGTCAGATTTGTGTTTTAAAACAGCTTTCATATTTAACTCCAAGGATAGAGATCGCGGTATTGATAGAAACTGATCCAAAGTTTTTCTTTCGAGAAGTGAATCGAAACATTACACAAAGCGAATGCCGGTGTCACTGCAAATTTGGACCACATCTTCCCCCTCCCGAGCATATACCCACTAGTGGATATGGAAAAGATTGAAAAGATTACATGAAAAAAAATGCGTTTGTCACTCATGTAATTATTTAGGAATTTTGTGTCCACAATAAAAGAAGCGTTGACAAAAAATTGACCTAATTATAAAATGATAAATTCATGATAGAGGGAAATAAAAATTGTAAATTTTTTAAAGGATAGTCCGAATCTGCGAGAGTGGGGTTCATATACCCTAGTGGACATGGGCCGGAGGCCCAACTCCAGGAGGGGTCCAACTCCGTTTGGAAACCGGGGATTGCAGACGAAAGGAAATGGAGAAAGGAACCAGTCTCGAAGTTTAACCATTTATTTTTTGGACAACTGATTGAGTATCTAGGAGTTAACTGCTTTGTTACATTTCAAATGTTTTCAAATCCAATGTCAATTCTCACGGTGATGTATATAAGAAGAAGGAAATCCTCTTTAACGCAGCCACACAAAAAGCCTTTAGTTTCAACTAGTTATATGGAGTAATGTTTTTCTCTCTTTAGGGGTTTATGTTGCGGCGTATGACTTGAAAATGGAATGGGTTGTCGTTAAGGGAATATCAGGCTATGCAGATGGCACTGGAGGAATTACCGATGAATGGAAGACCTTTGCAAGTGTAATGGCAGCCTCAGTTGTGGAAAATATGTTGTATGGTTCCGTTGTTTTCCAAAGCTGGCCACATTATAAAGGTGACGTCACTCTCTTTTTCTTGAAACCAAATGATTGGTTCTCATATCCTCATAGATTTATAAATTGTGTGACCATAATCAACCTCATATATGATTATGATCATCTTACAAGATATTTTGGTTCATTAACTCAATTTATATTATAAATTGGCAACCTTAAAGAGTTTCTGAAGTTACCATTGATACTGTGAGGATTAGGAGTTACGATTAAGAGATAAATATTTTTGTTCTAGAGCTCTAGAGTTCCAAAGTTTCTCTAGAAACTTGCCCCCTTTATTTATACGAAGATTATCTTGGTTTACCTTATTTCAGACCATCCATTATGTAAAATTGCTTGTAATAGGCTTAGCCAGGAAAAGAATCAGCTAAACTCAGAATGAAAAGCACTATTTCTCTTTCCTAAATCCCCTCTCCTCGTTCTCGTTCAAAACTCCCACAAAGGAACTGGCTGTGCAGGTAGACGTAAAATTATTGAAGTTGTCGAGAACCACTGAGCATGGGATGGTATAATGGCAAAGTAACTGAGATTGCATGAATATTAAGAGAACGTTAATTGTGGTTTTATTTCAATCTAAGTTCTGTATAGCAAGTTATTAATCTTATGCATTGAGTGAATTTTCAAAATACGTCAACATATTAGGCTTTTTAACATACCTGAATCAAAACCCGAGTTACTTCCCTGTGAACTGAAAATACCGATGGTTCATTAATAAAGGGCCAGTCTAGTCTACGTGAATTAAAATATTTTCCTGTTGGAAAGAAGGAAGCTTGAGTTTTTTCTTTCTAAATTCTTGAATTATTTTGTTTAGAATCAAGTGACATCGGTGCAAGTGTACCTGCATCAGCAGGGAGCCCGGGTATAGAGCGTCCAGAGGTTATCACTGCCATGGACAACAAAGGTACACTTTTGCCGATATGGACTTTTCAAGCTGTTATTTGTCTATCTTCTTAAACGACTGTCTTTTTGTCTGCTTTCCTGCTTCCATGTTATTTTTTCTACTTCCCAATCCCGCACTGGATATCTGCGTGGTTGCTTGCCAGCCTTTGTCTATGATCTTGTTTGTCTGTGCAATCTTCCGTACGACCGTTTGCCCATCTGTCTGTCTGTCCTTCCGCCTGTCTGTTTGTCCGACCGTACGCCCGCCTGTGCGTTGTTTGCCATAAAACTTAAAGGAGAACTACTACAAAACGTCGCAACTGCTTTGCTTCTTTTTTCATTGTGTAAGTTTTGTCTTTCTCGAGCAAAACATAAACAGATCGGTAAAACAGAATAGTTCTTACATGTTTGGTGATATTTGGCCGGACCAAAAAGCTCCAATTTCCAGCCAAAGATTTTCAATTGGAGAGAATCATAACAGCTTTGAAATAATTAGTCTGAAGTGATGCATTGTATTCCTCTAAAGAGATCAAGGAATAACTCCATGACAGGATGATTGACGCTAACCAATCATCCATCTATTACGTAGAACAAGAATTACTTTATTAAGAATATCTTACAAACATTAACTTTACTTTTTCAATATTCAGTCAAGAATGGCAAGCCCAGTGACGAAGAATTAGAGACAATTTCGAGAAACATCGGCGTAGACTGGAAGCCACTTGGAAGACGTTTAAAGTTTAAGGAACCAGAACTGGACGCTTTTGACGAAAACCATAAAGAATTCACCGAAAAGCCATATCAAATGTTGCTTCACTGGAAAAGAAGAGAGGGTGAAAAAGCAACCTATCTTGTCTTACATGACGCCCTATGTCATGACTTGGTAACCCGTAAGGATTTGGCGAACGAAATATGCTGTCAATGAGAGACTTAAATGACTTTTCAGTAGTTGCTGATGCAAATAGGTTTTTTGAAATAAGGACAAAACGATCAACAGTTGTCCAAAAATAATCTGTTGGCTTCAATAATGAGTTACTCTTTCAAAGGTAATGGCATTTATACACCAGTTTTTCCCATTAGATTTTTTAAGTTAGATGGATGGTGAGCTGGAATCTCATGATAAGTTTTCCTTGTCATACGTTGTTTTTATTTTCGTTGCATTTTAAATCGTATATATTGTATTAATCTATCAAGAAGTTTTTTTTACAAATTATAACTCCCCTGAAAAATCCTGCCTTCAATTAACATTGATGATAATTCTAAAGAGATTGCTTGTACTATAATTGCGATTTCACTTCATTACTACCATGTAATGAAGTAGTCAAAACAATATTAGCTCTTTAATATACAACAACACAAATCCATGCAGAGTGGACACTACGTACGTGCTTACATTTAGGAGCGCTCTGCCTACCCAGGACTCCATCGCCGTAAAAAAATTGACCCAACCATTATATAGGATTATAATGCTAATAATCATCCTATATAATGATAAACCTATGCCTATCTAATGGAGA